CCCTTGCAGATAACTTAAAAATAAATTCACAAAAATTATTTACAGCTTTCCCTAAAACCCTTGCGGATCGTTTATTCAACTAAAATTTCTCGTGTTTGTTTTTTAATAAATTCGGAACATTCTTAAGTTACCGTGAGAAATAATTTTGAAATTTTCGCTTTAAAATATCAGAAACGTCTTCTTAAAAGGAGCCTCTAAAATTTATATTAAAATACACTACAACTCTGATAATAGATAAAAGTAATTGAGAATCTCTCGCAGAAAAAAGAGGTTTTTATTAAAACCAATCAGACTCATTCACTCTCTGCCAGGGTATTCAAATCAAACACACTATTTTGTACTCGTTTTTTTTTATTTAGCCACAAACAAAAGAATTTTACATTTGCAATAACAATCCCCCCTCTCTCTCTCTCTCTCAACCCCCCTCTAATAATAATAATTTAATAAAATATTTTATATTTCAATTACTTTTGTTCGTGAAAAGTGAATGAAATTTTATTGACTTTAGCATACTTTGTTCGATGTGAATAAGTTCTTGTGACTGATTTCCCTTTTGTCAGTTAAAATCTACAGAAAACCACAGACCCCTAAACACTTTCCATAGACTACTCCGTATGGCTATACTACTATATATAGATATCTATTGATACATATACTTATATTTAGCTTTTATATGCATGCTATTTCTGCTGTGTGTTTGCTTTGCTTGGTTCGAGTAGCTTTTTTGTTACTTATTCGCATGTTTAGCAAATAAGTTGTGCAAGTGTGTGGGCGTGTGTGTGGATGTGTGTGTGTGGGTGTGGGTGTATGTGCTTTGAATTCGAAAAACGACTGTGGTCTGTTTGAAAGACACAAAGACGCAAGCCAAATGCTTGATTACAAGTGTTTGCCAAAGCGCAAGAGTAGAAGGTTGTACTTCATTAAAACTTAAATCTTTACATACAATATGTGTTCAGCATATGTTATTATATTTTCATTGTCAACGCATTTACAAAAATAAATAGAAATTGTTTCGATTATGCCAAAGTTATGTGAGTGAAGAGTTTATATTAGACCGTTTCGTGCGGGTTTCCATACCCCATATTGCTTTTTAGCAGAATAATAAATTTATTAAACCAACTAGAAGACATAAAATCACAAATTTTAGATCATGAATAAAATCAATTGTAATAAATAAATAAATATTATTGTACCGTCTAAACAATAAATAGAGAAAAAGTCTGAAGGAAAACGTAATGAAAGCTTCAAGTCCTGCAAGGTTATATGCTAATCTCAAAGTTAAGCTCTTGATAGAACAGTTAACTAGCTTAGCTTGCGTTTTTATAAAGTTTTCTTACTAATTATGAAACCTAGAATCAACTGATTGTGTATCAAATTCTATATAGAGAACTATACATTCAAGAAGAAATAATATAATTTTTATCAAAATTTTACATATTGTAGTTTTCAAAATAATTAAGTCTGTTAAAATCATATTCAATCGTTCAGCTTAAATCTTTTACGAACTAGGCCCTTAAATGAAGGTAAATATAGCCTAACAAATATGTACAATAACCTCAATGGGTGCTTAGCCACTGACCAAACCAATAAGTAAACTAGAACTATGTGCTGTACTAATTAGATATTTGCTACTTGTCACACACATAAGCACACACACACAGACACACGCACACACATAAACCCACCTATAGATGGGTGATAAGTGCATGTACGTGCGCTGCTTAAATCTAATGAAGGTCCAGATACGACCCTTGTATCCGACCCTTTGCATAATTTAGAGGCCAGTACACATCTGCCTGTGTGTGTGTGTGTGTGTGTGTGTGTGTATTCGGCCAAACATGGATGCCCTTTGCTGCTGCCCATATGGATAATGGTAGCCGCAGACATCCGCCGCCATAGCCCGAATGATTTTCAAAAGTGTTGAAGTATAAAATAATTACTTCATTTTATCAGGGATGTGCGAACGTGACGCTCCGTAGGCAGGCGGCTTAAGTGCGCAATTTGTCAGAGAGCGCGCTGACAAAATGTAAAGCACGCTTTTAGGCATCATTCACCATAAAATTCCATAGAATTCGGTGTACGCCAGCGTGTAGGGGCCAAATTAAACACTAAGGCTCAACATTAAGCCCATCTTTCAGAGGTTCTTTTTTAAAGCACACAAAACGAAGAACAATGTGCTGAAAGGGCTGCAGGAGCGGGCACTTAATGGATTTCCAATCCCCAAAACAAAAGAAATAAACGAGTAGATATGTGCTAGTTACGTGTGCTCGACTGTTAGTTATCCTGTAATTGGTTTTTTACCTAGAACCCGTACAAAATGAATAAAAAGGATATAAAGGTTTTTTGCAAATGTATGTAACAGGGAGAAGAAAGCATTTCCGACCCCATAGAGCATATATATTCTTGATCAGCATCAATAGCCGAGTCGATCTAGGCATCTCTGTCTGTCTGTCCGACCTTCCGTATGCGATCGATCTCAGAATCTATAAGAGCTAGAGAACGTGAATCCTACATGCAGCACAATAATTTACGATAATCGATAACTTGCCTCGTTCCCAAACAATCGATAAAAACGATATCGAAAAAAGATTTAAGAACGAGTTCTTATGCTGAACTTTGTATAATATGCTATCCTATTCGAACTGAAAATAAAAGTAAAAGCATTTCTTTACGCACTTACATGCCCTTTCTACGTCCTTTTATAGTTATAGGGTATTAGAAAAAAAGAACAAATGCCTTTTGTCGTACGCATCGTTTATAAAGCAGCTTACAAGTCTAAATAAAATAAATGTTATCAGTCCTTAGGGACACCACACAAACACAGACACACGCTGACTCAAGGACACTCGCCTACACACACACACACACACATACACAGAGACGTGTTACAAATTGTTGGCTAGCTAAATTTGAGCCGTTACCATTTTGGTTTTGGCCCATGTTACACCTGCAGCGGCTTTGAACTTGAATGGTTAGCTATTCGCTGGCTGCCTGTTGTATTCCCCTCTGGCGCCCTGCTGCGCCTGCATGTGCTGCTTGCATAACCACAAGCAGCCGAAACAAGGTGCAGGCATGTGTGTGCCTTCGTGTGTGTGTTTTCGACAGGATGTGGAATCAATAAATCTAACTGGCGCTTGTAGCGTACAAAACGTTCATCTCGCTCTATACATTAACACAATCATACGCACACATATATAGAAAGTTGTAAATGTGCGCGCTGAAATGTATGCTACAGTTATTTAGCCATAAGGCTAGAGAGAAGCATCCAGAGTACTACAGTCAAGACTTGTAGATACTCTTTAACCATAGAGATAGATAGATAGAATTCCTGATTTCTGTTGTAAGAACTAAAAATACAACAAATATTGTCTATGGCTCTGATAAACAGAATATGCCAAGAAAAATCTTGTTTAAAGTCTATACTTATCCATTAAAGTATGACGTTTGTCAAAGAAAAAACTCAAAAGCAAAAGCTTTGCTATAAATATTTCTAATTTCTAAGCTCTAGCTATTTAGGTATATATATGCATTTACTTTAGAAGTTCGAATTAGTTTCCTGCCTTGTAGCATACACATAGCTTAAAACTATTACAGCCTGCCTTAGCCATTTGTGTGCAGGGTATAAACAGCCACAGAAAACTCGCAATTCACCTTAATGCATATTAATTACCGAATGTCAAGCTCACAAACCAAATTGCCAAAATATTAAGGCTAGGGCGCAGCCGAGAGGAAAGTCGAGTACAAGACAAGTACAATACAAGTCAGCTTAATTAAGCCATTCGTTATAATACGCATAAGCCTGCAATCTCTGGCAATATAACAAGACGCCTTACGCATTAGAGATGTGTGCGTCGAGTATTTTTCTAGCATGAAACGAGCGAAGAAAATCGCTTGTGTCAGTGTTGAGAAAGGGATAATGACTAAATGCGATAAATATAAAGCGATAAATTGATCGAATTGATTGAAAATGAAAAAAGCGTAGACTGAAGTTAAATGAGGAGATTTCTGGCACTGAATTGAGCTTAATTCGAAAAATGTAAATCAATATTATTCTCAAATTTATGTGGTAAATTAAGGTAGACGAGAAGTTGTTTTAGGTTTAAGGTAAAAGGAAGTTAGTTATCCCATGTGAATACATGTTGATTTTCTAATAAGTTGGGGTGCCTTTGGCCCAAAACTAAGTATTAAGTAACACGAGCTGCTTTAAAATAGGCAGCAGCTACAAGGTGAGCGTTAAGAAAAGCCTGTCTTATAAGTAAGAAGCGCCTAAAATGATTGCAAGCAACTTGCAAATTGTTTCCAAATTTTATAAAATAGTTTTCAAAATTTTAGAAAACTTGCAACTTGATCAACTTCGATCAATCGTGTCGCGTGTGCCTCATTTTCGTGTCCTGCCCCTTGGCTAACATAAAATATCGTACAAATGCCCATCTCAAGGCTAAACACCAATAACAAAAAAGTGAAGCATACATTTCAGAGCAAATCTGCTGTTTCGTTGGAGCTGCCCTTTGGGGATGTGCTACGTTTTTTTCCGGAGCCTGCAAATAATTATGCACAAATTGGATGTAATATGAATCCAGGGATTGAGTCAATGCAAACATGTATGAGAAATGTAAATGAAAATTGATTTGCATGCAAGCGAGCAGCGCATATGGTCGAGAGAGTGTGTGTGTTTGTAGATGTGCGAGTGTGGTTTGAATTTCCATAGACAAACACTGGCCGCATGCATAATACAAAAAAAAGTTGGAAGCGGGAAAATAAATGTTTTTGCATGAACGGTAAATAATAATAATAATATAAGCAAGCACACATACACACACACACACACATGCGACACATACACAAACACATGTAGACTAGAATGCCAAACCATATGCCAGTTGACATGAAAAATAAATAACGCAGCCGAGCGCGAAGAGTGTACATATGATACGGAAATATGATTTGCCAGACATTTCAACGAGACTTTCATATGCTCTTTCTTTTATTGCCTAAACCAGGGCGCAACCAAGCTGACCA